GGAGAGTGCGGATGGAGAGTTGAGGATGGAGAGTTGAGGATGGAAAGTTGAGGATGGAGAGTTGAGGATGGAAAGTTGAGGATGGAGAGATGATGATGGGGAGATGAGGATGGAAAGTTGAGGATGGAAAATTGAGGATGGGGAGAAGAGGATGGAGAGTTGAGGATGGAGAGTTGCGGATGGAGAGTTGAGGATGGAAAGTTGAGGATGGAGAGTTGAGGATGGGGAGTTGAGGATGGGGAGTTGAGGATGGAAAGTTGAGGATGGAAAAGTGAGGCTGGAGAGTTGAGGGTGGAAAGTTGAGGATGGAGAGTTGAGCATGGGGAGAAGAGGATGGAGAGTTGCGGATGGAGAGTTGAGAATGGGGAGTTGAGGATGGAGCATCCAATTTACAAAGGAGCTAATCACTTAAAACCACTGATATTGACCAAATTATCAGAAAAGACATACAATCACAACAATCTACCCTGCCTAATTAGAACACACCAATAACAAAAGGACAAAAAAAACCAGGGTGATTAATCATAGTTGAGGATGGAGAGTTGAGGATGGAAAGTTGAGGATGGAGAGATGATGATGGGGAGATGAGGATGGAAAGTTGAGGATGGAAAATTGAGGATGGGGAGAAGAGGATGGAGAGTTGAGGATGGAGAGTTGCGGATGGAGAGTTGAGGATGGAAAGTTGAGGATGGAGAGTTGAGGATGGGGAGTTGAGGATGGGGAGTTGAGGATGGAAAGTTGAGGATGGAAAAGTGAGGCTGGAGAGTTGAGGGTGGAAAGTTGAGGATGGAGAGTTGAGCATGGGGAGAAGAGGATGGAGAGTTGCGGATGGAGAGTTGAGAATGGGGAGTTGAGGATGGAAAGTTGAGGATGGAGAGTTGAGGATGGAGAGTTGAGGATGGGGAGTTGAGGATGGGGAGTTGAGGATGGGGAGTTGAGGATGGAAAGTTGAGGATGGAAAGTTGAGGATGGAGAGCTGAGGACGGAGAGTTGAGGATGGAGAGTTGAGGACGGAGAGTTTAGGATGGAAAGTTGAGGATGGAGAGATGAGGATGGAGAATTGAGGCTGCAGAGTTGAGGATGGAAAGTTGAGGATGGAGAGTTGAGGATGGAAAGTTGAGGATGGAGAGTTGAGGACGGAGAGTTTAGGATGGAAAGTTGAGGATGGAGAGATGAGGATGGGGAGATGAGGATGGAAAGTTGAGGATGGAGAGTTGAGGATGGAGAATTGAGGATGGGGAGAAGAGGATGGAAAGTTGAGGCTGGAGAGTTGAGGATGGAGAGTTGAGGATGGGGAGTTGAGGGTGGAAAGTTGAGGATGGAGAGTTGAGGATGGAGAGTTGAGGATGGGGAGTTGAGGATGGAGAGTTGAGGATGGAGAGTTGAGGATGGAGAGTTGAGTATGGAGAGTTGAGGATGGAAAGTTGAGGATGGAGAGATGAGGATGGAGAGTTAAGGACAGAGAGTTGCGGATGGAGAGATGAGGATGGGGAGATGAGGATGGAAAGTTGAGGATGGAGAGTTGAGGTTGGAGGATTGAGGATGGGGAGAAGAGGATGGAGAGTTGAGGGTGGAGAGTTGAGGATGGGGAGTTGAGGATGGAGAGTTGAGGATGGAGAGTTAAGGATAAGGAGTTGAGGATGGAGAGTTGAGAATGGAGAGTTGAGTATGGGGAGTTGAGGATGGAGAGTTGAGGATGGGGGGTTGAGGAGGGAGGGGTGGGGGTGGGGGGGGGA